AATTTTAATTCTCGTGTTGCTATTTGTTCTGATATTTGGAGTGAAACTTATCATAATTTGTCTTATATGGGTGTTACTTGTCATTGGATAGATAGTGATTGGATTATGCATAAACGTGTTCTTGCATTTCGTGATTTCAATGAACAGCATACTGCTGAAAATATTTTCCTATTGCTTCAGAGTATTCTGCGGGAATACAACTTATCTGACAAAGTGTTTTCATTTGGTTTTGATAATGCTACTAATAATACTGCAGCTATTCCAAGACTAAGAGAAATTTGCCCACCATCTACGTCTATGGGTATATTTCTGCATCAACGGTGTGCCTGTCATGTTTTAAATTTATGTGTTCAACAGGGACTAGAAACTATGGGCGGAGTTTTGACGAATATTAAAGAAGGAATTAAAAAAATTTGGGGGGCTCGTCTTGTTTCTCGGTCTGGAAGATGTTCTGTAAGTCTAAGGGTAAAAAAGAAATAGTTTTTGCAAAAGATATTCACATTAGATGGAATAGTACTTACAAATTGATTCATCAGATTCTAAGATATAAAGAGAAACTTGCTGAATTTTTTAGGGATGAACTTCGTATAATCATTAATCCTTCTGAATTTGTTATTGTTGAAAAATTGAATGCTGTATTAGAAGTTTTTAATAACGCAACTCTTACTTTTTCTCATGTTTACCAACCAACTACAAATACATTTTTAAAAGAGTGCGTTACAATCGCAACATGTTTTCGTGAAAGTAAGGCTGATCCGGATTTGTACCCATATGTATATCCTATGATAAAAAAATGGTGTGATTATTATTTGTACATTCCTGGTATTTATAAAATAGGTCTTATTTGTGATCCACGCTTTAAGATTGAAAATTATAAAATTTTAATTGAGTATTACTACAGTTGTTTTTTAGATGAAAATAGTTATTACTACAGTTATTTAGTAGAATGGGAAAAAGAAAGAGATGATGCTGTAACTTTTTTTGAGAATTTGTTTGAGGAATATAAAGGGTTATACGGCACTGTACAAGAAGAAACAGCACCACCTCCGCCCCCGAAATCAAAAAAAGGTTTTGCCGGAATAGTCGGTGGTCTTCTTGCAAAGAAAGGGAAGCGTGCTCATTCTTCGACGAGTTCAAGTGGTACAACAGTAAGCTCGCACAACGAACTTGCTATGTACCAGGGTGTGCCATGCGATTACGATGA